TTGTCCACTTTTGGGACTTGTACTCATTTTGTTAGTAGCTCTGTACTAGTGACTTCCAGGTTTTGGAAGAGATCTTTATTTGTATTTATGTTTTGGTTTGCTTCCTCCTGTTTATGTTGTTATCTTAAATTTTTCCTACTCTTGTTTAGTTTCTGCCCTCAAACCCATTACTTGTTGTTTCGGGTTACGGGTTGGCTTACCTACTGGTGGGTTATAGTAGGTGCCATCATGATTCGAGGAATCGGGTCGTGACAGGAGTACTGCTATTTTTTCTTCTTTAAAAGTTACTAGTAGTTAGTATGGATAGTCGATATGTTCAAAATTCCATGTATAGAGAAAAATATTTAGGGAATAATAATCCTTATTGATTAGTAGTAGTGTAGATAATCCTAAACTACTCGCAACAAATACTCTCTCTAGTTTATATTGAGTAAATTTTTGGATTTTTTTATACAGTTTAAAATAAGTGAACTATTCAAAATTCAAGAGAATTATATTGTTGAAACTTTTTTTTTCATATTTAACTTTTATTTAATGAGGTTCTTAATTATTTTATATTTTCTAGGAGAATAGTTTGATAATAATCTATAGGATAATAGTAGAAAGTAGTCTTTAAATAATTTCTTAAGGAGCGTATCGTACCCCAATAATTCACTTAATATGGACTAAGTGATTAATTTCATGACCATCTTAAAAAGAGTTAATGGAACTTTTGAGTGTTGCATTCATGTTGATCCAGTGACAAAATCAAAAAAATTATACCATTAATATACAAAACAAATTCATATATAATGATAAACATATATTCTCAAATTAATAGGGAGTCAATGAAGGGGAAGAGAAGCAACATGAAGACCTAAAAGAAGAAGTGAGAAAGATGTTAGTGATGGCTCTTTCAAAATCTTTGCACAAACTTGATCTCATCAACACAATCCAACTTCTTGGTGTAGCTTATCATTTTGAACAAGAGATTGAGGAATCATTGAGTTACATGTACATTGATTATGAAGAATGGATTGGTGATCTTCCTGATATTCCTCTATGCTTTCGATTACTTAGGCAACAAGGTTATTATGTCTCATGTGGTAAGTACCATTCACACATAAAAAATAGGAATATTGGACATAATATTCTATATACTATATTATGCATGTATGTATGTGTATCGATAAACTATATAGTTTAAGTTAAGTATATATGTGTAGAGATATACTATATAGTATATATCATTTTGGGGGGAAAAAATAAATGAAATATTATATTTCTCAAACTTAAGGAAAATAACTTTCCTATATAAAATGTAAAATAAAAATAAAAATTCAAGATTCTATTTGAACCTTACCACCTGTCCCCAACCTGAGACCTATGATCTGACCTCGATTAGCATATGCCTTCCAATCTCGACTCGATGTTAGATCTTGACTTGGGACTCGATTCTCGAGTTGAGGTCATGAGTTGGGTCTTGGGTCGGGGTTAAGAGTTGGATCCCGAATTGGGTTTAAGATCGAGAGTCCGGTTTTAGGTCAGGTCCCAGATTGGGGTCGGGACAGGAAGTTGGGTTCCGGGTTGAGGTCGGATCTAGGGTCTCGGGTCAAGATCAGGATCTAGGTCCTGTGTTGGGGTCGAGAGTCGGGTCATGTGTTGAGGTCGAGAGTCAGATACTGGGACTTGATTCTCAACCCCGACCTAGGACCTGACTCTCGACCTAGGACATGACTCCTGACCTCAACCTTTGAGACGTGACCCGGCTCCTAATCCTGACCTTGACCCTGAATCCAATTACTTGACTCCTACCTTGACCCAAGATCTGACCTGACTCGCAGCTTAATCCTGCATGCATACATCAATCATTGGAACATGTATGCTCATTGATAGTTCAAGAATGTCATGTCCTCTTTTACTTTCTCATAATATACATATAATTTGAAGCAGATGTTTTTAGGAAGTTCACTAACGACCAAGGAAATTTCAAGAAAGAATTGATTAACAACGTGCATGGAATGTTGAGCTTATATGAGGCAGCACAATTCAGAGTACATGGTGAAGAAATTCTTGATGAAGCACTAAATTTCACCACCACTCAATTGAAACTAATTTTGCCTAAATTGAGCAACTCCCATCTTGCACAACAAGTCGCTAACGCACTCAAATTTACAATTAAAGATGGCATAGTAAGGGTAGAAACAAGGAAATACATATCATTTTACCAACAAAATCAAAATCACAATCAAGTCCTACTAAACTTTGCCAAATTAGACTTCAACATCTTACAAAGGTTGCATAAAAAGGAGCTATCTGATATCACAAGGTACGTAACTCGCCACGTGCAATTATCTTCAAGTAAAATTTATTTTGATCAAATACAATATTTGCAAAGATTATGTTCCAACTTCAAATTTAAGTATAATCGGAGAGAGATGATTAGATAGGACATGACGTAATTGTAACTTACACAAGAACATGACCTTAGATAAGAAAAATATAGAGTACAAGAATTAGGATAGAAGGTTAGTAGGTAGGAGTGCGTCTATATACTACTATAGCTAGTAATTGTAGGATTACTCTGGTAATTTCTTGTTCTTCGATTTATGTTACTATCTAATATTTTGTGTAGTTCATTTGTTGTATTATTTTGTTGTAGTACAGTTCTATTACTAGCTATATGTTTGTTTTTTTTTACTATTTATTGCCTCTTGTACTTATTCATTATATCTTTTTCTAAATTGTTTTTGTATTGAACTGGAGGTCTATATATCAGAAATAATCTTTCTATCTTATCTCTAGAATAGAGGTCAAGTCTGCATACACTCTACTCTCCTCATACTCCATTGTGTAGAACTACACTGAATATGTTGTTGTTTTTGTAGGTGGTGGAAAGAATTGGAAATGGTGAATGCTAATCCTTATATAAGAGATAGATTGGTAGAGGCATATTTTTGGAGTTTAGGCGTTTATTTTGAGCCTCAGTATAGCGTTGCAATGAAAATATTAGCAAAAATTTCATATATCACTTGTATAATTGATGACACATATGATATGTATGGCACACTAGATGAACTATCTCAATTTACAAGGGCAATTGAAAGGTGATAATTCTTCTTGTTATGTTATATATCATGTATTTTTTGATAGCTTACAATAAATTGAATTATAATTGCTCTTAATTATATATATATATATATATATAGGTGGAATATTGATGCTTCAGAACAATTACCATCATATATGAAGATTCTTTATTGTCATCTTCTAGATGTTTACAAAGAAATTGAGAAAGAATTGGCAAATGAAAACAAGTCATTTCTAGTAGACTATTCAATAATAGAGGTACTTATATAAATATAAATAAATAAATAAATAAATAAATAAAGAAGATAGGAAACATATGCTTAAATTGATTAACAACTCTTTGAAGAGCATAAAAAATAGAAATGTTTCATCAAAAAGCATGAGTGGTCGACCGATAGAATTGTCCCAAGTTAAAAAAAAATATTACTTGGGTTCAATTCTAAGTAATTATTATACATTTTTTAATATTTCTGAAAAACACTCTATCCATTGATTTTTAATTTTTCACTATTGTTTTTTAGATGAAAAAGGTGTTGAGGGCTTACTTTCAAGAGGCAAAATGGTACTACAATAAGAAGGAAGTACCAAGAATGGAGCAATATATGAAGAATGGAATTCCATCAAGTGGTTACCAATTGCTAGCAACTACTTCTTGGTTAGCCATGGGAAATATAACAACTAAAGATGTATTTGAATGGATAGCAACTGAACCTCCAATACTTGTTGCTTCTTGTTGCATTACAAGATTACTCAATGATCTTTCATCACATGAGGTATAATAAATTCTTCTCCCGTTTCAATTTACAAGATGTTGTTTAACTTGACAAAGAGTTTTATTTGTTTTTTAAAACAAATAATTTAAAACTTGTGGTAAAAAAAGGCATACATGTTTGTGTGACTAAAAATCATCTTATAAGGGTACAATCTTTTTTTCGATAATTTGCCTTCTTAACTTCTTTCTCCTTACAAAAATAAAAAAAAATCTTCTCATCTTTATGCAAAATTTAGTTTACAAAGAATGTCTTTTTTTACAACTCTTTAATTCCAATTTTTCACATGATATATTTAAATTCGGCCTAATTCATCGGTGGCCTCCTAAAGTTGACACGATGTTTCACTTAGACACCTCAACTAGACGATATTCATTTTAGACACCTTATGTAGGGTCCCTCCATGTCATTTTGACACCTTTTTTAATATCAGTAAAAATATATGATGTGTGTGTTACACTCGCGAATGACATGTAAAGTGACGAATTATACGACGACATTTGTCATTGATAAAAGTAATTTTTAAATAATTAATTTTGAATAAAAATAGAAACTGGCCAATCGTCTTCTACACCCCCACCCCGGGTCGAATTTTCCACAGCCCTTCCCCGTGCCTGTCTTCTCCAAATGCCCCTATCCCTTTTGCAAAAAAGGACTTGAAAATGGATTTGAATAAAAAAAAAATTGACCTCCATTGAAGGAGTTTAAGTTTGAAAAAATGAGGTGAAGGTGGTGGCTTGAAAAATGGAGAAGAAGAAAAAGAAAAAAATAAAATAAAAATTAGCTAAATTAAGTCTTTCATGCGCTATTGTTGAGTGTATCACACTCACTTTAACATGTCAGCAAAAAGTGTCAAAATGACCTAACGAGATCCTACATTAGGTGTCAAATGAATATCGCCCAGTTGAAGTGGCTAAGTGGAACTTGATATCAACTTTTGGGTCCCAATGATCAGGGGTGGACCTATGAAGGGCAGTGGAGATGCCACGCCACCCCCGAACTTCGACGGAAACTCTATATATACATAGGTATATATACATAATATTTATATAAATATAAAGTGTGTCACCCACAAAACAAAATTGGCTTGTGGTGCCATGATAGGAGGGCAACTTTAGAAGGTTGAGGTTGCGGGTTCGAATCCCATTTGAACCTATTTTTTTGAAAAATTGCTAAAGACGTTTTTTAAGTGAAAAAAAGGCTCCAAGCCCCTTTTTTTTTAAGGAAAACAGCTGGCACATTATTTTATTTTATTTTATAATTGTTATTGACTTAAATTAAATTAATTACATTACTCCTTTGACTTAGAAGTGTTCTCTTTCTCTTCAACTATTTCCAAACCCTTCTTCCTCCAAGTTTCAACTTCTCCAAAAAATTTATTACCCCATTCCGAACCCAAATCACTTCTTGTCGTTGCCGCCCCCCGCCCGTCTTAGCATTCCGTTCAGCGGCTAAGCCTCATTTGGGTGCTTTTGTTTTCACTTTTCTCCATCCATCCACAACTTTTTATAGATTGTAAGTTTGCAATTCTATTTTTGTAAGATTTTTTTTAATTTCTATTTCTTGAGTTCTTTTAAGTTTTAATCAGTGATGATTGATTTCATATTAGACAAGAGTTTTGATTTTACTTTGATATTCTAAATTTCTAATGAACATTGTAAGACATTATTGGTTAAAAATTGTGTGATATGAATCATGTTAATTTGAATTAACTATGCCTTACCCTATTAAATTTGAATTAATTGTGAGTTGAATTGAATTTTAATTTTTGTAGGAAAGTGTTCTAGTTTTGTGAATTGAGATGGAGAAGTTTCTTGTGAAATTTAACCATTCTCAAGCAAGTTCTAGTACGAATGTCAATCCTTCTAGTCTTATAGATGACCTTAATTTAGATTCACTTGAAGCCGATCCAAGAAAAAGAGTACCAATTGCTCACTATAACCCTCAAATAAAGGATGAAGTGAGGAAACATTATATTCAAAAAGGGCCTTGTCAACCAAAAATGGATTCATATCCTCCAACTGAAATTGGAAAAAGAATGCGTCAATTTTGTAAAATTTGGTTTGAAGGTCCATATTCTAAATGGTTGGAGTATAGCGTGGAGAAAGATTCTGTCTATTGTCTATGTTGTTATTTATTCAAAGATGATTTTTTCCATGGAAGTACAAGTGAGTTTTACACAAAAACGGGTTTTAGGAGTTGGAATAGGGCACTTGAAAGATTCCGTAAACATGTTGGTGATGTTAATAGTATTCATGACAAATGTTTCAACAAGATGCTAGATTTGTCAAATCATCATCAATCAATTCAAGTTGTTATTGATAAGCATTCTCAAAAGTTAAAAAATGAGTATCGAATGCGTTTGGAAGCCTCAATTGATGTGTCAAGACTTCTTTTGCAATATGGATTACCTTTTCGAGGTCACGATGAAAGTGAATCTTCAATTAATCAAGGCTTCTTTCTAGGATTTTTGCGATGGCACGGGGACAAACATCCGAATGTTGGAAAAGTGATATTGGAAAATGCCCCACAAAATGATACGTTGACTTGTCCTATGATTCAAAAAGATATTGCCAATGCTTGTGCAAAAGAAACATTGAAAGCAATAATTGGGGACTTGAATGGAGATTACTTTGGTATATTAGTTGATGAGTCAAAAGACATCTCTCACAAAGAACAAATGGCTCTTGTTTTGCGTTTTGTTAATAAGAATGGTGAAGTAGTTGAACGATTTATCGGTCTTGTCCATGTTAGTGATACATCGGCATGTTCATTGAAGAAAGCGATTTATTCTTTGCTTTCCGTTCACTCACTAAGTCCATCCAAAATACGTGGACAAGGTTATGATGGGGCTAGTAATATGAAAGGAGAGATAAATGGGCTCAAAACTTTGATTATGAAAGATAGTCCATCGGCATATTACATTCATTGTTTTGCTCATCAATTGCAACTAACACTAGTGGCTATTGCTAAAAAACATTTGGATGTTGAAGACTTTTTTGATCATGTTAGTAATGTGTTGAATGTTGTTGGAGGATCTTTCAAGCGTAGAGACTTACTTCGTGATCACCAAGCCAAAAAGTTAGAGCAATTATTTGAATCCGGTGAAATTCAAAAATGTCACGCCTCGAGCCTATACCCTGGGCGGGACTGGCACTCGAGAACCATTGATATTGTTATTTTCTCATCTATTGTTCATGTTCTTGAAGTGATTGAACTTGAAGGGTCCACATCAAGTGATAGAAATCAAGCGGAGTATCTTTTAACAAAGATTAAAACATTTAAATTTATTTTTGTGCTTCACTTGATGTTGAAAGTGTTGGCAATGTCAAATGAGTTGAGTAAGATTTTACAAAAAAAAGATCAAGATATTGTTAATGCCGTGGAGTTTCTTAATATTACAAAGAAAAGATTGCAAGATATGAGGGAAAATGGATGGGAATCTTTGTTGGATGATGTTTCCTCATTTTGTGATGTGCATGATATCTTGATTCCCAAGTTGGATGAGTCTTATTTTCCCGGAAAGTCAAAACGTAAGTCTTCGGGTGTTAGTTATGCGCACCACTTGCGTGTTGAAGTCTTTTTTGCTGTCATTGATGTGCAACTTCAAGAACTTAATGACCGTTTTGATGTAGTGAGTAGTGATTTGCTTCTTGGGATGGGTAGCTTGAATCCGGTCAATTCTTTCTCTAATTTTGACAAAGGTAAAATCATGACTTTAGCAAAGTGTTATCCAAGTGAGTTTGATGATGGAAAAATTAGAGATTTGAGCTATCAACTCGATACTTTCATTAGTCATATGCGAAGTGGTAATCCAAGTTCTCCAACTTGCAAGGAATTCATGATTTGGCGAAGGCATTGGTTGAAGCAAATCTCGCGGAGACTTATTCACTTGTTTATTTACTTGTAAAGTTGACTTTGATTTTACCTGTTGCTACGACAACTGTGGAGAGAGCATTTTCGTCAATGAAGCACATAAAAAATGAAGTGCGGAATAGTATTGGTAATCAATATTTAAATGATTGTCTAGTGTGTTACATAGAGCGTGATGTATTTATAAATGTTAGTAATGATGTCATTATCGATCGTTTTCAGAATATGAAAACTCGTCGAGGACAATTGTAAATGAATGTTGAATATTTATAATATTAGTAAATAGTAATATTATTGAAAGTTTTAAATTTGTTAACTTCATGCTTTTAGTGTGGAGTGTGGATTTGTAATATCTTATTATTTATATTTTATTGATTGATTTATGATATATATCGAAAAGACGAATAATTTAATCAAATATAAAATTAATTTAATCGATAAGTTTATTTGGCACCCCCGGACTCTAAATCCTGGATCCGCCACTGCCAATGATGGGTTTGGCCTTTAAATCCACAAAAATAATGGATATTTTAGTATATTCTCATATCTTTAATATAAGACCATAATATTCAAAAGTTATTTACTTTAATTAAACTCACATTTATTTGATTAATTTTGTTTGTTTTATTCATGTTAGGAAGAACAAAAAAGAGGAGATGCAGCTTCAAGTATAGAATGTTATATGAATGAATATGGTGTTACAAAGGAAGAAGCACACATAAAATTAAGAAATAAAATAGAAAATTATTGGAAGGATTTGAATGAAGAATACTTCAAAGTGGATGTGACTATTATACCAAGAGTTTTGCTCATGCCTATAATTAATCTTACAAGAGTAGCTGAGTTCATGTATAAAGATGAAGATGCTTATACTTTTTCGAAAAATAACTTGAAAGATGTCATCTCTGCAGTGATAATTGATCATATTATATAGACCGATGAAAACAAGAAAAAGAAGAATTATTTGTTTAGGAATGGTTTTTCGTACAATAAAAATATGGAAAAAGTTAATTAAGGGTTGTTTAGTTACCATGTATTACTAATAAATGAATAAATATTTCCATGTTAAAGTTTGTATCAATAAAAATACTTCATCCAACATTTTATGAATCTCGTTGCTTTGGGGATGTGTTCTATCAGTTAGAAACTCAGAGGTGAAGCCATAATTAAGAGTTTGGATGGTTCAGATTTAGGGGGGTTCGAATTCACAATGCTAGTGTTTCACGGTCACTTTTTTATCATTGAACCGGATTCACAAGTTAATATACATATATATATTTATTTAATTTTCTAGTAAAAATACAGTGTCTACGGAAAAGCTACTGAGTTCGTCCGAATCCACGAACCCCCACCTAGCTCCGCCTCTACATAGAGGTACAACGAGGAACTTTCTTCATTCGTTGATCATTCAAAAAAGTTCTTATCAATGCTACTTTGTCCCAATTTCCAGCACCGGCATAAATGTTGGATAAGAGTACATAAGCACCAGGATTTTCGGGTTCTTGGCAGCATATTCCGAAATCATGGCATTTCACGAAACAACATCGACCTCTCACAGGCTGATATGATATATCTGTTTTGCAGCATTGCGTGGTTGTGCTAGAAAATTCATAACTCGGAGTAGAAATGCCAGAATCACGAGCTTCTTATTCCTTCGGAAACACGACTCAAAGAACTACAACATGTGTAAAAAATATGGCCAATGACTTTATGGATTTGTACAGATATTGCTTCTAAGTCAGCTCACAATTCTGTCTTTCTCGGCTCTTCAGGTTCATGCGTCTATCATAAAAAAATCATAACTTAAAGTAAGAGTGCTGAAATCACGATTTTCTTTTTCCATTAGAAAGACGACTCAAAGAAATACATGTGTATAAATCAATACCAAAAGATTTATGGATTCTTACCGATATTGCTTCAAAGTGAGCCCACAAATATGCCTTGCGCAGCTCTTCAATTTTGCACGTTTATGGCTGAAAATTCATAACTCGAAATAGGAGCAAAAAAATCACGATATTCTTGTTCCATTGAAAATAGGACTCAAAGAACTACAATTTGTACAAAAATCACGGCCAAAAGCTTTCTGAATTAATTCTTTGATATTGACCAGACATTTGTTATGCATGTAATGTCACATTTCTTGTGAATTTGCTTTTAATTATGAATTGACCATTTTGCCCTTCCCCTTAACATTTTCTTTCCAATTGAAAGGTAATAATTTTCTCTTTTGTTTCTTATTTATTTCTTAGAAAAAGAGTACAATCCAATATGATACCGATAGGGTATCAATATATTGACGGAGTATCATAGAGAATTAAGCTCAGTCCTATATGATACTGATTGGGTATCAATATATTGACTGAGTATCATAGAGGATTAAGCTCAATCCTACATGATACCGATATGGTATCAATATACCGATGGAGTATCACAAAGAATATATTTTCTACTAGTTTAGAGTTTAATAAATAAAATTGTGACTTTAATAATTTTCTCTTAATTGTTTCTTATTTATTTCTTTAAAAAAAAAGTTCAATCTTATACGATACCAATAGGGTATCAATTTATTGACGGAGTATCACAGAGGATTAAGCTCAGACCTATATGAATTCGATATGGTATCAATATACCAACAAAGTATCACAGAGGATTAACTCATAGTACTAATGTTGATGTCATGTTGACATCATGCGCGAAATAAAAAAGGAGAAGGCCTAACCCATCGATCGCCCCCTAAAATTGGCATCAATTTTCATTTAGACACTTTAACTAGACTTTGTTCATTTTAGACACCTCAAGTAAGGTTTTGTTATGTCATTTTGACACTTTTCACGTACACGTCATAGAGAGTGTGATACACTCGATTATTGTGCGTGAAAAGTTTATTTAGTCAATTTTCAATTATTATTTTTCTTCTTCTTCTTCCCCATTTTCAGCCTCCATTTTTCAAGTTTAACTCCATCTATGGCGGAATGTTTTAAAATTTAAGAAAAGACCTATTTTAAGAATTAAATATTGAAATAATCATGAATTTTTTGGAGGAATTTAATATTGTCATATGGAAGTGGGTTTGATTTTTCACTCCTCTTCCATCACAGGCTTTCAAACTCTGCTTCACTTTAAGTGCTTTCTTATTTTTTTAGTTAATTTTAATGATTTCAATTCAAGTTTACTGTTTTGTTATTATTAAGAAGAATCTGAATTCGTGACTAAGCTTTATTCTTCTATAATAAAATGTATTGTTCTTTGAGGAGTGATTTGGTGGGCTACTTCTTCTAAGTTATTTGAATTGACCTAGATTGAATACTTTTGGGAAGAATTTCAATTTAAAGATTTAAGATTTTTACGGATATTATAAATATCAGAACTTTTATGGACAAGTTGAAAACTTTATGCCTTATGAACTGGGTTTGGTATATGATTGAGAAGGACACGGGGTGTGTGTGGTGTGGTGGGGGGGAGGCATTTCTGCAAATGGTTAGATTGTAGAAGACGATGAAAATAATTTCATAAATTATTTTTTTGTAATTATATGGGCAAAAATACCACATGTCATCGATTTATTGACTACTTTTTGTTTTTCTCAAAATTCATTATTTAAGAATGATGATTTTGGCACAAATGACAAATGTCGTCATTTAATTGGACACTTTACACATCATCCGTGAGTAAGGTAAGTGGGTAAATAGTTTGGATCATGAGTCCATTAAGGATAAATAGTTTGAATTTGGTTCAATTTGAATAAATATTTCACTATTGGATCTATTTTGTATAGTTTTCCATGTTTAAATTGGTGTTAAAGACCCAAAAGTCAATTTTTAAATAAATATTCAATATCTCCAAAACCTAAAGGCTTAATTAGAAATATATTTGTTTATCATATATAAAATTTATTTTTGATTTAAAGTGTATCCTCAAGTCCCTCTGTGAGTTAATCTAAGATTGATCAACTTCTAGCTCAACAGAGTTGCGTCAAGTATGATGATTTTACAAGAATGACATAGTTTACTTGTTGAAAATAAAGTTTGATGTGTGTTGCTTTATAATATGTTTTAATCTTTGTAAAGATTCAGTTTGATAGAATAGTAAAAACTAATAGATCTGATAATGGTACAGAACTATTTAACAAGTTTTTGCAGTACTTTGTTGAATCAAATGAATCATACATCAAAAAATTGGGGTTCAAGTCAATATATCTCTTAAATTCTTGTTTAGTGCAAACAGTTATGTATAAAAATGGGTATATTATGTATGATCTTAAAGACAGAATATTATTTGTTAATAGAGATGTTAATTTTAGTGTCAGATCCTTTGCAAAATTCAAATACTCAACATCTAGAAACTAGCTCTTCAGTAACACCAAAAGTGTAAGGGTACGATTCAATAAAATAGGTGGTCTAAAGTCAAAAAAATAAAAAAAAATAAAAAACTTAAATGTATTTAATACTTTTTATGGGAAAAAACATAAGTAAACATTTTTATGAAAATAATCTATACATCTATATAAAGCTGAATGTAAGCAATCATATGTGGCACCTCTCTATGGCCAGTATTCTTATTTATATTTTCTCTTTTTTTTTAACTTTTTTCCTATTTCTTCTATTAACTATTAAAAAAATTATTGAATAAGATAAAGAAACAAATATGTTAAATATATTAGTGGCAATTATGTCGTTTTTAATACCCATAATTGTAGCACATAAATATTAGAAATTAAAAGAGAAATAAATAATTGTTGATAACCTATATGAGAGAATGTCAAGAGTTTTCTCTAATATTTAAAATAGGGTAGATGATCACAAATTATTTCAAAAATATGGTAAAAGTTATTCACCAACTGATATTGATGTGCTCATTATTGACGGAGTAGTAAAAAATGTATGGTTTGATTCAGTGGCGGAGCCAGAAATTATATCGAGGGGGTTCAAAAAAAAAATTAATCACACTAATAAATATCCATAAAATAAACGGGTCGGGTCGGAATCATATAATGAACGGATTGAATAACAAACGGGTTGACAAAAAAATCCTTAGTTCAAATAATTTCTTACAATTAAAACTTATCATAAGAAACAAATTTAAAGTACATATCTATAAAATGATAATAAAGTAGCACAACTCATTCAAAAATTCTACAAGTTCTTCAATTCTTTTAGAATTGTCTCCGGCTCCTAAAAGTACAAATGGAGAACAAGCACAAATTTAACATTAGAAAGATTGACAATAAACACGAATCAAAGCAAAAACTCAAAAAAATTCTTTTTGGCACACTGCACATATAGAATTCTGATTTTTTTTTTTAAAAAAAACAAAAAATACAAGAACTTACAGAGGTTGCCATCAATGGTCGAATCACGAATGGAGGATAGAATGAAATGATCCGCGGAGATTGGAGGACCACTAGCGGCAGCGAGCAGCGACAGCAAGCAGGAGCAGGCATCAGGCGAGCAGCAAAACGAGAGGCAGTATTCTAGTTGAAAGAAAAGACTAGGAGGAAAAAATAGAATATTGAAATCCCTAGGTTTTTTATTTGTTGACTTTTCAATTAAAGATTTAAAATATAAAATTTTAGTCATTAATGAAACGTCGTCGTTGTACTATTTATTTTTAATAAAACCACTTAAAATTTAAGCCAGCAAAAATGCTTCAAAATTAGAAAAAAAAAGGTTGTTGCCCGCTGGATTCGAACCCGCGACCAAGCCCACAAAACTCGCTTTCTTGAACCCAGTTTACCATTGAGCTACTTCTTTGACATATGCTCAGGGGGGTCAATTTTAAATATATACACATAAACATAAAAATTGATCTTATATATATAGTGTAATTTTTTTATCGAATGAACCCCCTTGGCACACTGTACATCCGCCCCTGGTTTGATTAAGCTCCTTTCTCAATATTTCATTCATTTTTATGATTGTGTTTCAAACATCTTCTACGTTTTAATTGTTTTTCGTCCTTTCTTTACTTTTTAATTTTCAGGAACATCAAACAAATTTCATTGAACATGCACGCATCAAAGAGAAAAAAAATTCAACAACGAACCAAATAAATAAATAAAAAGTCATGTAGGGAAGAAGGATAACAAGCAACGGAAGAAGAAAAAACAGAAACAACAAAGCTCCTCGAAAGGACATTTAGAGATGAAGAGAACAGATCTCAGAATGGATAATATTTCATCGGTTTTAGCGTAAAATAATAGTTAGATCATTGACGCAGTAAGTATTAGATATATGAAAATTGAAATTAATTTTATGCAAGAGTTAATCTAATATCTTATTTAGTATGATATTCTATATGATAGACTAACTACAAATTGCACCATATTCTTTTCTTTTTTAAAACAAATAATCAAATATATTACTAATAACTGAGCATATAATTATGTGTCTAAAGCTTAAGGATAAAAAAAATAAAAAAATATTAATCAAAACCAAAAAAGCACAAAAATAAAATTATTAGGAATATTATTAAAGTTATTAGAATCTAAAATATGTTAAAAATCTTACGTTTCAAAATCATTGTACAATTACAAATATATATACATATAAAAAGAAATTCTCAAAATTATTTATATTTAGCCTACAAAATAAAATAAAAAATAAGTATTAAACTCAATAAAAATGGACACCTTAACCTTGTCACTTCTTCTTTTGATGATAGAATATGATTTCTTTATGAAAAAAGAAAGAGAGAGTATCTTATGATTCTTCAAGATATTGATATAAGAAGAAAAGTTATTATTTTTCATAGTCTGTTAATTTTCTTCTTGTTGCATCTCGTCGATACGATAGGTTGATTTACCTTACTAGTCATATGCCCTAAAGGTTTACTGTCTGGATGGTACTTTTCAACAGATAAGCGAATCGCGCTCAAGTGGTGGTTGACAACAATACACCGCGGTATGTGTGAGTCAAGATTTTATTTAGTGATCCGAAGGAGCAATTTGAATTACTGCAGACTGGTTTCCTCCCATATACCCCCGCAATCGCAGCTTATTCATCGAGAAGCCACTCACGGCACACTGACTAGAAATCATCTGCGAGAAGGTCTTCTGGCACAGGCATACTACTAATCGATTCTTTGGTAATTCGTGATTGAATACAACCTAGGAAGAGTTGTACGCCTACATAACAGCCCTCCCAGCCCAAAGGAAAATGCACAGATCATTTGAAAAAAAAATGTAGCAAATGTTCTCTTAAAAGGATGTTGCACTATAATGTTTTCTACAAGAAAATTTGTATTGATAAAAAAATACTTATAGAAAAACTGATAAGTGATAAGAAGAATTATTTACAAAAAGAATCAATTTAAATATTTAATTATTAAATTAGGAAAAGTATAAGGAGAAATCTATGTTGTGAATTATAATTCTTTCAATTACTTTCCATTATTATTATTCTTCCGTTCTTTTTTTAAAAAAAAAATTGTTTCATTTTTCCTTATGTATCTTTAATTAATGTTTGTTTTATTTTTTTATTGTGATTTGAAAAGATCCTAAATTAGTGCTCACATTATTTCTTTCAATGTTTTATTCTTCTAATTTCGATTTTTGTAAATTTTATTATTTAATTTTTTTTCTGTGTTTTTTCTTATGTACCACCTTAATTAATGTTTGTTTTATTTTTTTTATTTATCTTTAATTATACTTTATATTCTTAGAAATAATGAATATAATATATTAATTTTGTTGACATTTTTTTAATTTTAAAGACTAAAAGTCTCACTTTAAAATTTTACAAAAATATCAAAGGTAACCATATTTTTTTTTCATCAACAATCATATTAATTTTCTTACTTCCTTGCATTAATATAATAATTAATGTCATTTATATCATTTCCTTAAATCACTTTTTTTTAAATACTTTCTTTTATTTATTTATTACAAGAAATTAGTTATTATAATCTTTGTAACAAATATATTAATATTTATTAATGTGAATTTGATTTTATTTTTATAAATAAATTAGATCATCTCTCTGCTAAAGATCTATACGATTATACCCATACCAAATAATAAAGTTAAAAATAGAAAATGATGACACTCTTCTTAATTCAAATATTTATTAACTTTATAATAAATAAAAAATGCTGATTTATTTGAAAAACAAGTAGGGCCCCCTTTCTCTAGCTTATTAGGGGCCTATCAAGGAGTTCCATTAGTGACTGGTAAATTGGCTCTCTACCAAGAATGGTTTGCCTACCCCTTTGCAAGGCTCCCTGCCCATCTGCTTCGACTATTGGTCTAGAAATGGCTACAAGAGACGTTTTTTCTTATATTTTTTTAAAAAAAAATAATTGCTCAAAATTTTGTCTTGGAAGTTTATCTAAAATGCATTTTTCTAAATTTTAAATTATTTCATCATTAATGCTATTAATTTTTCCCTTAATTTCATTATTAATATTATTTATATCATTTTCTTAAATTGCTTTTTTTCTGTCTTTGTTCTTTTCACTTTATTTTATTTATTTATTTTAAAATATTAGTCATTGGTATATAGGTTTTTGAGTATTATTTTAAATTTTGAATTATTCCCAATTTAAAAAAAATAATCAATTAGGTTAATTCTTTTATTGAAATGGAAAATAAGATCCATCTTTTTCTCTTCTTAGATTACTTTAGGTTAAGAATTTTAGTTTTTTTTTTTTAAATGAAATTATAAATTTAAAATTATTCGAAGTAGAATTTTCAATAAATTATTATGAGAGCTATCATAAATAATGTATTCACAATTTTCTTATCTGCGTGAAATTGATTAAAATTCGTGAATACTTATATATTATCTATTTGATTCTTCGATTGATTTTTAAATAATAGTTAATTACTTTATGTATGAATGATATTGTGTTGGAATTAAAGTTAATTGGGAATGGACATGATATTGTATTAAAATCTTAATTTGGTAATTCGGTTTTTAAAAATGTTAGAACATTATTGTGTCAATTTTTTTAAAAAAAATAATTGATCGTTTTCTCTGATATCAACTTAATGTGAAGATATAATTTCTTTTCTTAATTATTTTATTTAAGAGGAAACAACCAACCCCCTCGATTCAGTTTCTGCAACAGTATATAATCTCGGACTCGATGGATGCCTACAGAAAAATGGAATTTTTTTCATATTCATATTTATATCCTCTGCAACAATTGTTGGGATGGACTTTCGCGATTCGACTGGAACTAAGGACCTGAACTGAATGGAATTTCAGAGCTCTCGCGCGGCTATCTAAAGAATGAAGAACCACATCGGGACTGATAATTGGATAGAATCTCCTTAAATAAAGAAAGGGGGCCTATAAATTGGGTTTTTGCTCTTTGGAGAGCTAAATATAAGGGCGATGAAAGTTGTAAGATCTCATGATTTCTGTCGGTCAACAACCAACTAAATCTATACTTCTTCACTAAAAAAATTCGGCTCTAATCAAAATAGAATTGCCTTTTACTTCTACTTAATTTATAAAAAAAATTATTTTAAATTACAGTTATACCGTGTGAAGCGCAGACAAGTTTTCTAGTTACATATATATGGTCGTATTCAGTGAATAACATTTATGGCAATTTAATATTTACTTCCTTAGCTTTTTTGCATTCTGAATTGATCGTGTTAAAATATGTTAGAGATTTAAGGCACCATGAACTCTTCAGTTCCTTTTTGTAAGATAAAAATAATTGTCAATCATAAGAATTATACTACATCAGTCGTATCTTCCTTCTAGTCGTATCTTCCTTCTACAAACGACTGTTATTTGGGAGATTACGTTTTTTTTCCTTAAACTGAAAATTACTCATATTACCCATAACTAAAAAATTTACATGGAAAAGAAATTGCAATTTTGGTTCAACACCACAGTAAATGGGATATTGAACACAATTTCAATAATTTCATAGTTGACGGCGTGACACTAAAAGTGAATTCAAATTTGGATACCATTCTTGATGAAATAACGAAGATACTTGGGGTTTATGCTTCTACTGATACAATTGAAATTAAATATTTCGTGAAGCAAAATTATACTCCAGTGAAGATATACAACGATAGGAGTTTGAGATGGTATTTGGATTTGAAAAGAAAAAGTTCCTTCACAGATTTTCCTTTGTGCATAACATTGAAGGAAAAAAACGGTGACGGGATTTTGTCAAATTCGAATCCTATCAACTCAAGTTCTAATTGTACCCATGATATGCAACTGGTAGAACGTGTTGAACTCACTCAAACACGTATTTCAATAGACAAAAATTACTCGCATGATGAAATGGAAATTGACGAAGATGGTATAATCGACAACAAAGTTCACACAACAGAGTTCACAAAGACATTAAGAAAGGTCAGTTGTATATGACCAAGGAGATACTCCAAGATGTTTTGAATCACATTGTCATCAAGGAGAATTTTTCAGTTCAAAGTTAAGCGTTCGAGTACGACGAGGTAATAAATGAACTTCAACGAATAATAACAATTGTTTTTATAAGTTGGTATCAAATTTGTGGTAGTACTTGTT